CAGCTCAGCACATGAAAGGACAATAAGGATGCTGCAAAATTAACTGAACAGAGACTCTGTAAAGAGAAATGTCAATGCCAGCACTATTGATCTTCAGAGTTGAGGCAAAGGCTTTTCCTTTTGTTCAGTCCATCACTCTCCACTTGTGATTTATGATGTATTTTGTACGTTTTCTCTGATATATCTTCTCAATGGCCTTGAGCAATGAGTCCTTCGTGAATATTTCTGGCTGGACAGCTCGCTCACGTGTTGGGCACACACACTCTCGCTCTCATGCGTCTCATGTGGCTCCCTCTTGAGCCTGTCTCTGAGGATGGATTGCCAGAGTGGTGGAACAACACAAAACTGATGAAATATTCAAGCATCAGATCATTACTACATTTGCCATGTTATTACACATGCTCATTTTATGTTCCCCATCAAAATCAGCATGCATGTCCACGCATGAACATGGATGGATTTGCTTTGTTTGTGGGTGTACACATAAACAAATATTTAAGTTGTGCTCTCACGCCACGTTCAAATGTGTAAATGTAGCAGCTGGTGTATTTTCACATGCACTGTCTCTGTGTTTTGGGAATTTTGTGTGTGTGTGTGTGTGTGTGTGTGTGTGTGTGTGTGTGTGTGTGTGTGTGTGTGTGTGTTCACAGCTGCACTTTCTTGGCTCTGGTCCTGGAACTCCCTCATTTGTTCTCCCTTCTGTTCAGCACAGATCAATACAAATACAGTGAAATTGAATACATTATTTTCAGCATATTTCAATGTCAAAAAAAAGAGAAAATTGCTTTTCTGCCGATCCTGTGTGTAGTGTTACATAACAGGCTTCAACCGCTCAGTTAATTAAGAGGGTAAAACTCACACCTCAAGGATTCATAATTTGTTCAAGTAATAATCCTCTTAAGATCTCTGCAAGATGTCTTTGCATAATTAGGAGCGAATATAGTTGGTGTTTTTTTAAATACTGATTGTGGATTGGCTGTTAAGGTCTGCACCAAGAGAATAATATCCGATGTGCGAAAACAGTGTTTAATAAACAAAATTGTAAAAGTGCATATTAGCTGTATCTCAGTTTATGTGTCCACCGTCTGTTGCAATATGTTTCTACTAAATCAAAACACTTAATTTTTTTACCACTAAATTGGCACCAACTAATCTGAGGGAAGCTAATAGCTAGCTTAAAGGTCCTATATTACGCAAAATACACTTTACCATGGTTTTCTAACACTAACGTGTGTCCCTAGCCTGTCTACAAACCCCCCCCCAGTTATCCTCTCCGTCTTTTGCCTGCTCCACCTTTCCGAAAAATGTTTGCTCAAACAGGCTGTTTGGAGATTTTCCCTTTGTGACATCACAAAGGAGAGTAACCCCTCCCCCAGGGGAGTGACACTCCCACAGCTAGGTGTTTGTTCTGCTCTCTGAATCGGCCTTTCCACTGTAGACAATACGCCATAGTACAAGAAAGCCAGAGCCGCCCAAACCCCTCAAGAGAGGGGCGTGGTCAGATACACCTCACTTGCATTTAAAGCTATAGACACAAAAACAGCCTGTTCTGAGCAGGGCTGAAATACAGGAGTTGTTGAAAAGAAGTATAATATGTGACCTTTAAACTTGATTTAACGGCATCAAAATAGTGTGAAAGCATGGCCATTATAGCCTTACCTCTATCTGATAGGTAACATACAAGCATGCAGAGTGAGGCTAATTTTTCACATTTATTGCCAAAATTATTTATGTATTGTGAGACAAAAAAAGGATCCTACACCAAAGAAGAGTTTCTTTAACACTATAGCATTACTGTAACAGAAAAGATGCCGTACAACTCCTCACCAGCAAATTCTTACTCAACCGTAGACTGGCACATTATCACACATACAAAGTATACAAAAAAAATGTTATCGCTAGATTAATTTAAAAAAGTTGCTAATTAAACAGATTAACCAAAAATGGGCATTCAAATGCAGTGTAATTTAACTGTTCTACCATATACAATCACATCAACCATCCTGTAGAATATACATGTTCTGTTCTTAAGAATATAATTTTTGTCTGTGTGTGTTCTGCCGCATTAAGATCATGCTCAGTTGCCAAGATATCTGCGATGAAAATACCCCAAACAGCAATCTAACACCGTCCCCACGATCTCACACTGTGACACAAGGCAAGATGGATTCATGCTGTTCACATGAAATTCATAGACACGCAGATTACTCAGACCAGAATTGTTTTCTCCCCGCTCCTTATTCGTCTTCTTTTGTAGAGCACGTGTACTTGGTCCATCTGTGAAGATAACTCACAGAGATGTACCCTTTTATATGATTGGACACGAGGGTTCAAGAAAAGATGTATTCATTACTAAAGGCCTTGAAGGTGCTCATGGATTAATGTGTGTGTATATCATCAAGAAAAGAATCCTGGGCTGTGTTCAAACAGTCCTTATGCCTTAGGAATGTGTCCGTACTGAGTGAAACTACCTGTAAGTGTTAAAGAATCAGCCACGGTGATGTTAAAACTCCAGTGAGGAGATCTTAGCTGGTTATGAAAAAATGATACTGATGCATCCAAATTACCTACAAAGGCAAGCCAGACTATCAGAGAACATTATACGCCTGTTACTCCCTTCTGCAGGGTAACTGTCAGAAGAGGCAACAGCTCCCTGCCAAACATCCCTTTTTGACATTTATTCTTTAGGATTTTTTGCCTTCATACGACAGGGCAGCTATAGAGAGATTGGGCATGTGGAGAGAAAGAGTGTGGGATGACATGCGTCAAATAGCATCAGGACCTGCAGTCAATCCTTCGACCAAGTTGCATCTTATAGGCTTCTAAAAGAAAGCAGGATGAGGGGCGCTGGTGGCGCAGTGGTTAGTGCGCACGCCCCATGTATGGAGGCTGTGGTCCTCAAAGCCGGCGGCCCAGGTTCAAATCCGACCTCTGGCTCCTTTCCCGCATGTCATTCCCCACTCTCTCTCCCTGATTTCAGACTCTGTCCACTGTCCTATCTCTCGAATAAAGGCACAAAAAGCCCAAAAAAAAATCTTTAAAAAAAAAGAAAGCAGGATGAGCAGGATTTGTCACTTATGCATGAATTACATAAGATCAGCTAAGAGACAGATCAACCCTCTATGTTTACAGAAGTCACAAAAATCTGCATTTAACAGGAGCTTTAAGGAAAACCGCTTCAGTGCCTACTTTGTTGTCTCTTTAATACGGGACAATCCTTTGTGTACGGTGAGAGTAAAATAAAGACCCTCGATCCCTTGTGGCAGCAACGCACATATTATCGCACCTTTCCTCGGCCGGCTCAAGATTATGAAGGCTCATGTCGCTTACAATTGAGGTCTACAATTCTCCAATTCACTTAGCAGACGCTTTTATCCAAAGCGACGTACATCAGAGAGTAAGTACAACACAAGCAAGGATCTAGAAAAAAGGGAACCATGTCAGTAAAAGAAAACGATCAGCTTTGAGTCCGATTGGACACACAGGTGCTGACAGGAAGTGACCAGAGGCAAAGCACAACATTGACGGCAGTTCTTGAGAGCTCTAATCAGTAAAGAAACCATCTTATAAGTCATCGTTATCAAACAAAAACCATCGTCACAACCATCATCATCATCAATAATATCAAGACCATCATCATTAAGTTAGTAGGTATTCATGAAAGAGCTGGGTCTTTAGCTTTTTCTAAAAGGTGCAGAGGGACTCTGAAGATCGAATGGAGTTTGGAAGTTCATTCCACCAGCGGGGGGGGAACCGAGGAGAAGAGTCTAGTCAGAGACTTAGGATCCTGTTGTGAAGGTTGGATCAGACGCCTTTCATTGGCGTAGTGGGCGGGAGGGAGTGTAGACCTGGATGAGAGAGTTAAAGTAAGGAGGAGCCGTTTTGTAAGCGAGCAGCAGAGTTTTAAATTTGATGCGAGCAGTAACTGGGAGCCAGTGTAAGGAGATGAACAGCGGAGTGACATGTGCTCTTTTAGGAAGGTTGAAGACCAGTCGTGCTGCTGCATTTTGTATCATCTGCAGATCAAAGTGATTAAGAAAGATATGGGTGGTAAATTTTGGGACTTTTTCCAAAGTACCTGTTTACCTTGATGTCTTTTCTGAACACCTACTTTACCCTGAGCTGTTATTGACTCATAACCCACCTTTAATACAAAGGCTTTATTTCATAACAGTGGTACTAAATATCATGCTGGTTCCATAATCTTGGTGAACCCTTATAAAAGGATCATTTATTTAGTAAATGGAGCCATTTGTGATTAAATAATCAGTTTTGTAAGAAACGCAGCTTGTCCTGAAGAAAGAGAGCCTTTGGATATTAAGATTTTATTGTTTTTCCTTTATATCACTGCTCTCATATCGCTGTGTAACCCTGAGTAATCCTCTTTTATAATTGTATTTCCTTTTGTGTAAAATAAGTCAAGTACTCTGGTCCTTTTGGTTAATCTCCTTTTGGACTGAAGTTCTTATGTCATAATGTTTATTACCTAAACTAAGCACAAACCTATGGTCAATGAACTTTGGTTATAAATTTGTGATCTTCAAACCTGATGATTTTCTTTTCTTGAACCGGTTTGACCTTTTTTAAAATTATCTCTTGTTTATTCCGATGATTATGTCTCTACAAACCCAAAGGACACTGAGTGCAAGAACCCCAGGGGGGCACTTTCCCCTGAACATGAAACCACCTCATTAGACACCGACAATCAAATTACATTCATACATTGCCTGGATTACAACTCTGTGGGTCATCCTAATCAATGAGTCATTAGTAGAGAGAAGCAGCTAAACCTGATGACCTTGTCTGTTTGATTGGATAATTTTAGTCGCACCTGCTTTAGAAGCTAGCTGTTAGCATGCAGCTTTATCTGCTCACATGCACCTTTCTGTTATAGCCTTTAAAAAAACTTTTAAATTCATGGTTGAACTTTTGTTTAAACTTTTTTCTCTCCCTGTCACATGCATCTGTCTGTTCTTACCTTTCCCTTCCCACCTCTTCAGGAGATCCAGCACCAGCAGCAGGCAGTGAAGGAGCCATACGGACTCAATCTGGCTGAGTCTCCGGCTGCGGAAGATCTGCACATTTATCAAAGGTGATAGACCCAAAGCTGAATCATATATTTTACATGGTTTGCCATACGGTATAGTTTTTTAAAATGTCATTTAAGTTATGACTTTCAAGTAACTTCAGCAAATGATGTGTTAGTAATAGACTTACTAAGGTGAAGCTAAACTATCTAGGGAAGGCAGTTCTTCTAGATATACTGTGATGCCATTTAATAAGTAATGAAAATCTGATGCAATCTAAATCAAAGCTTAACCTCACAAAGATGATTATCTTGGGTTTTGATTGACATGGTCAAAGACAACAACGTGTTTTGAATGTGTCGTCACAAAAACATGTTGTCCATATTCTTAATAATGACAATAGAGCTACTGTAATAAAGTACACTAAACAACATTTTGCCATTAAGTAAGGCACAAAGCCATGCTGACATGCCTCACACTGAAAATGCGAAGAGTGATGTTAAACATGTATTATGTTTACTATTTAAATGTAACATTCAAGCCTTCTGTGTATCCAAATAATGCTAAATACAAATTAAACAGGTATCTATATCTATAGGCTAAAGGCAAATATTCTTCAAACTGGTGAGGTATAAATCTCCACCACTTCACTATGTTGAAATAGTCTAAAAAGAACAACCCTTTGCAGCAGGCTGTTAACGTGTGTATTTCTGCAGTAAAACTAGGCTTTTCATACATGGTGCAAATGAAGATTGACTCGTCTCCATTGGCTTTTAAAGGACTTAACCCCCGGGGCGCTAGTGGCCTAGTGGTTAGTTTGTGCTCAACCGGTGGCTTCTTTTCCCCATGTCATTCCCCACTCTCTCTCTCTCTCCCTCTCCTCGATTGCAGACTCTGTCCATTATCCTGTCTCTCCAATAAAGACATAAAAAGCCCAAAAATACAACTTAAAAAGAAAAAGAAGGGAAAAAAAAGCACTTTGCCTGCTGGTAGCAATTTAAAGACCCTATGATTGCTGCTTTGCTGTCTGTATTGTAACTGAGGGGAAGTAACTCACACACACACACACACACACACACACACACACATAATAATTCTGGATATGTTTTTGTCGTCATTCATTCATAACATCTTGAGCTGGCCTTTGTTTGTTTAACCTTTTAGAGCTCTGGTTTTTTTTTTTTCTTGTGCAATGAAGAATCAGAAGTCCTGAAGTGAAAGAGCAGAAGCCTTTTCTTCGGACTGTCTCTTCCCATTAAGCTGCTCCTGAAGAAGATGATGTCTTATTATTGTTGTGCACCCAATGCCCTGGACAGAAAGTTGTGGAACAAGCAGTCAGTGTCATCAGCACCCTCAGGCTGATATGGATCATTTTACAAAAAGGACATTGTAAACTCTGCCCTGCTGTGTGCATCACGCCTCTGACCGCACTGATCCGCGTCCACCTCTCCCTTCCTTCACCAGATACTTTAATTTTGTCTCTGTCCTTTTCCCTTTCATTGTGTTCTTTCTCCCCGTTTGCTCTCAACCATACTGATGAGTGAAGAGAACTCGTCCATCGCTGAAACTGAACACAACTCTCTGTTCTTTGGATGAGAACAGCACATTTGATAGAGTGTGATTCATTTAATGAAGCATTAATCGCTTTTTTCTCACCCTCAGCTGCGCTACACACTCTGAGGATTACTGCTCCAGTGTATCTTTTGGTAGCCAGTCCATGTCATGCCTCATACTAAATGTACAAAAAAATGACTTTACAGAATGGACTATCAGTTTGAAATAGCACTAAATGATCCTAAAAGAAAGTCAGGTTAGACATTTAATAAACTTGTATGCTATATGCAACAAAGTTCCCACGTCTACCTCGGCGGTGGTTACACATTAATTTACATTGAGAGGCACCGTGTGTAAATAGCAGGAGCTTCACATACACATACACATACACACACACACACACACACACACACACACACACACACACACACACACACAGCACTGATCCACCCTGTTGTAGTGTTTAAGTACTCAAAATTTGTCTTGGTCTCAAGACCACTTTTTGAATGTCTCTGTCTCTTCTCGGATTCGAGAGCATTTTTACTCTGTCTTGTCTCGGTCTAAGTCTCGGACTGGGCGGACTCCGGATTTTAAACCAAGACCGGTCAAGACCACCACTGATAAGCTAGAAAACACCCCTTTCTAAAAGAAGGAATAACTTAAAGTTAAAGTAAACCTAGTTTGATTTTTATCCCCCGGTTACGGCTGCAACTTTCCTGATGATAAGGTCTAAGTGAGTGACGCGCCAGCTGCACACAAGATGAGGATTTTTCAGTGATATTTATGGTCTTGTCTTGGTATCGCCCTGCCTTGGTCTGGGTCTTGACTCTGTCTCGATCCCGAAATGTCTCGGTCTTGTCTTGGTCTCGGTCTTGACTACGACACTACCCTGCAGTCATGATGTTACACATTTCCTCTGTCTCCCTCCTGTTACGCCTCTGTTATTTGAGTTTGAGACTTAACCACATCATTCTGCCTCTGTGCGTTACACAGTGTAGAAAAGGCGTAACAGGGGCATTAATATCCCGCCTTGAACTGGCCGTGTGTAAGCAACATGAGACACTCACGTCTTGACAGAGATTTTGATGAGGAATAGAGAAGAAATGCCTGGGAAAGTGTTGAAAGATAAAAAGATAAATTCTTTCTTTTAATCACACTTTTTTTTTTTTTCTTTGATTAGTATTCTCTGGCCCGGGCTCTTCAGGTGCAATTTAAGCAAGATAATCAACTTTACTCAATCCAAATTGTATTGAACAATACTGCTAATATCCTCCTGCTGTAGCTGCAAATAAAGGGGAATGAAAGTGTTTATTATCGAGGCTGGAAGTTGGAACGGCTCCAAAGACATTGGCTGCAACAGGAGCTCCACTAATGGAGGCATTAATATTAAAAACTCAGAAGCAAGAGCCAGAGGGGAGCTCTCAACTGTTGCATATTATCGTGTCTTTGCGAGTGGAAAAATAATCCACTGAGAAATTTGAGATTTGATGATTATATTCTGTGAATATTAGCAATCTCAACCAACATGGTTGTATCATTTGTGTTTAGTGGTTTAAAAAAAAAAGGAGACATCGAGACATGTGATAGCATCCTGGGGAATAATTACACAGATAGTGTTTAACCTGTTGCTAATGACGCTTCCCATTGTGAATTGACATGTAACAGAGACAAACATGAGCAAAGCATGTGCATACAAAGTAGATTTTTGGCTTTATGGTGGAATGTTTTTCATTTTGTGTTTGTTTCTTTTCTGCAGGTTTGCACATCTGGGCCAGAGCCAGCACAGAGTGGAAAGAACTGACCACATAATCTCTGCAAACATCATCTGCTTGTGAGTAAAACATGACACATTAACCCTAAGATCACACACTGAGACAGAAAAAAAGGAAAGAGCCTCACCCCCAAGGAAAGTTAATTTTGTAGTATTTAATCCAAGCGTTTTAATAACCTCTCAACATTTCCAGTAGCCTAGTGATACATGAACACAGTTGCTCGGACTAAGTGGTCCACAAAGGATGCTCTAGCTGTGCTTTGTTTAATCTTCATCTTTTATTACCGAACACTCTTTCTTCACTTCTCGTTCCTCCCTGCTATTTCCCAGTCAGTGCAGCCCTCCCCTGACCCAGCAGGTCAGAGATGGAGTGTTGTTGTCCGCAGCCAGATTCAAAATTCAAACCACACGTGGGTTGGCAATGTGCAGCTGTACAGACGCACAAGCAATTTTTTTCCTCTTTGTATTTCTCTCTGTCTCTCTGTCTTTCTAGTTCAAACTCCCTCATACACAGACTCAAAAAGAGCATCTGGGTGATGAAATGCATTTAGCATCAAATTGAAAGAAAGCCCAATGTTAGACATTTTCAACATTTTAAAAGCTAGATTCTGCAGTGAAGATTTTTCAACAAAATTAAGCATTTTTTTTTTATTTAAACTTTATTTATATAGATTTATAAAAAAAATGGTAATTAAGTTTTATTCTGTTAAATTTGGACAGAACCGGACGAACTGTTTTTGGTCTTTGTGCTAAGATAAGCTAACCGGTTGCTAGATGTCAAATCGAGTAGACAGATGTTGGCACAGCATCAGTCTAACATTTTCATACAGACTCAGACTTGACCTTTTGTCTTTTTATTCTGTTCAGATTTAATCAACACTGAAACCTGCTCTACCTTCAAGATGTGTAACACATTTATGCAAATAGAAGAATTATTTGTAATATTTAATGTATATTTTTGTAGCAGCCAAAAGAATCCTTAGTTGTCTAATCTGGGTCCAAAAAGGAAGAAAGGCAAACAACTATCATGTTCCACTGTTCACAGGTTTACATTAAAATGATAGACCCCTTGCTCAAGAAGAAAAATGAATATTTATTTAAAACCCTGTTAGCACTATACATGCAAAGATAAAAGATTTTTAAGAGGAGGAAACAAAAGGCAGTCAAGGCTTTATTTTTAGCTTTAAAAACATATTCAGGTAGGGGTATGGACTCTGAGGTTAGAGAGAGAAGAGAGTGGGCTGGTGGAGAGGAGAGATCTGTTTGCACAAGATGTTACCGTTAAGCAGCTCTGTGAGAGGACCGTGAGCTAGAAGGTTGATGATGGCCAAACATTTCCGAGGTATATATTCAGAGGATATTTGAAGGTCACTTGAAATCTAAGAAGAGCAACGTGGCAGGCAAAGAGGATATATAAGGCAGATAAAGAGAAGCATACATAACACAGTTAATACTGATGGAGACTTTACAAAGCAGCCTCTGCCATCAGTGTTTGAATGGGTAGGTGTGACATGCGGTTTAAAAACCCTTTTTAGTAGCCAGTGGACTAGAAAGGCGCCTTAGGAGCTCAAGTCCATTTACCATTTGGATTGTACAAGAAGGCAAACAAGGGGCAGCTTTCTGCATCCTGGCCTCAGCACAAGCTAAGACTATTGTGATGGGTTTAAAATAAAAACAGAGCTAATATATAAATATATAACTGTGAGGGGTTCTCCAGGCCTGGGACAGCACTAGTGTTCCTTAGGTCAGGCTAAGCAAGACTATCTTTTATTTGCATCAATGCTGCTATGCTGTGCAGGTCCTTCCAGTCTTTCTGGGGCCTGTGCTTCTGCCTAGTGATAGTAAAGAGTGGGATGCTGCCTAGGCCTGACAGTTGCATTAATTACTCAATGCTGTATTAAAATGATAAGATGCTAATACTTGACTTGAAGGAAGGTCGGGGAAGATGTTGTTTTTGTAAATGTCTTGGATGTTTTTACGACATATCCTTTTAGTTTTATCTATCTCTCTTTAGAGTGAACACATGGCTCTTCATGGTCCTCCTGAAACATGTTTTGAAAGAAAAAAAACCCCACCATTTCTGATTTAATACAGGTGAAAAGTAAATACATGTCAGGAAAAGGTGGCAGACAGACATTAGCTTTTGTCGAAGTGAGAAAACCTCTGCCTCCAGCCTTACATCCTCTCGTCCATATTCAGTTTGCATATCCGCTCCACTGCTTATATTTAGTGGCACCCTGGCCACTCATTAATACATCCATCTATTGTTGTTGTCCTCATGGCAGGTCTACACGCTCCGACAGGTGTGTCTGATGTTGTGCAACAGGGCTATTCTAAGATGCTGTTACAGCATCAGAAACGTGTTTCCACTGTTAGTAGTCTGCCGCCCCCCTCTGTGCAGTTCCTCTTTTCACCCACCAGGCATAGGCAAAGCTTGGCGATTTCAGCTATATGTGAAGAGTCGCCAGGAGTCAACAGACCAAACACAAATCATTTCTGAACCCTTAGTTAACCCCCTCTATTATGATTAACTGAAAGATATATCCTGCTGTGCCTTTTTTCAGTGTATTCAGTATCAATAAATGGAATTAAGGTATACCGTTTTTTTAAGGCTTTAGGGATTTAATTTCAACTCAGGTGCATTTCCCCCAAAATCCATTACCACAAAACATATTATTCTGATATGTGTAGAGCGTGTAATCCCCCGATTAGACAAAAGTGCATCAACATTAGTTCCACCTCACTGTGTATTATGTAAGCTTCAAATACAGTAAGAATAGACTCCATGCTTACAATTCACCTGTTGTTGATTTTAAACTATTGTAAGTCTTTTCTTTAAACCTCACAGAGCCAAAAGAAAAGCTTTGAATATCATGCCATGTCTCAGACGTTGATAACTCGGAAATGGTCTTGGAGGTTATGCACTAATTAATTAGTTGATACAGAATTCTGTTGAATTTTATCTGGTTATGACACAGACTGCGAGAACATTGATTGTATCTCTATTTATTGTTGATGCCTGTTACAGCTGCCACCAGGTCAGTGTCAGATGAGGCGATTATCAGCATGATTCTTAACAGAGACTTTTAGGGCTTCCACACTTGCAGAAATCTTGTGGAAAAAAATGTATATGTGAGCTGTATATGTGAACGCAAATTTTTCGCTACGAGTTTCTCCGGCCAGACCTCGAGTATTTTTCCACAGCAAGTCCGAGTGGGCTGATGTGAGAACGCAGCAGGATATTCTCCGGAGGATTCCCCCCTCGAGCCGATGGGAGGGGGAGTGACGATTCAATACTGTTACTGCCGCATGGTGCATAGAGTTTCTGCACGCTTTGTCGACTGGGGTCACCAAGATCAACACAATCTAAAAGTTCCTCAGATTAGCTTTAACGTTTTTCTGCCTATACCTCTCACTGCGTCACATTGACTGTTATTTCTTGAAGTAATGAGGGATTACCTTGTAATGCCTGTGTATTAGAACTGAATAGTTCCTGCGAAAAGAATGCATCTCGGGCCAATTGACATCTTTTCTATCACAGGTGAACAGGCTAAAGGAGAAGTAGCCAGCATGCCAAGGCTCTGAATATTAACTAAATAATGATAAAAGGTACTGTACTACCAAGGCGATGATGAGAGAAGAAAAAGTAGTTGATCATGAAGCCTGATGTAAATCTGTGTATTACTATGTCACAGAGATTCCTATGGTGGAGTCGTTCACTCATTGTCAGCGCATGTGTAGAGCTGTGTATTATTTTTTTATTTTAAAATACAATTTTAACCTGATTCAGATGATTGATACACACCTATACAAATAGCACAACAAGGGTTAAGAGTTATTTCTCTAGCAAAGGTGTCAGCATCTGAGTGTGCTTTGGTTTAAAGTTGGGTCCTTAGATCCCAGTATACATGCAAGATGTTTTCATTATAGCATCAGTTAAATTACCATTAAACCCTCGGTTGAAGACTCCCTGATGACATGTACTGAGATTCTAATGAATCCTTTGTGTCTATGATCCAACCAGTAATCAAGGAGGTGTGTTTCCACTTCTGCCATGTGTCTGAGCAGCCTCTCACTGGGGCCTCAGCTGCTGTTGAACCAGCTGTCTAAGTAGATGACCTGACGAGCATGTGGATGATAATCCACTCTTAAAATGATGACACATGCAGAAGAGTCTAGTTTCCTTGAAAAATATGAGTAATTCTGCTTTAAAAAGGCCTATCTCTGCCATCCTCGTGTTGCTTCCATTAGCGGGGCCCTTAATCATCGGCCTCTCAGGCGGATTTTCACAAGTGCTCTTGATTGGATTAAAACATTTATCTGGTTAAGGGTTTTTTTTTCATCATCTTGGGCCCACTGAATATAGTAACAACGTGACTCGTCTAAAATACGGTTTCAATACATCCATTCTTTGAACGTTCTTCTGTCTGTTTTCTTTTTTTTTTTCTTCCCTCTCAGAGAGCCGGTGTCCTGCTTCCCCGGGGACAGCATCTACGCCGTTTCCCTTCCACAGGTGGACCGAGACAGCCGCAACGAGTTCGAGAGCAATGTGATGACAGGCCAGGGCCAAGTGAGGGTGCTATGCAGGGAGGACATGTTGATGTACAGGGAGTACGTCAAGAACAGATACATGTGACACTCCCACAGAAAAGCAAGAACTGGATCTCTGTTACTAAATTGAGATGATATGCTGCACATCATTACATCTTTATGACTTGATTTGACTTTTAGCATTTCGTTTGTAGCTACAACATGAAGCAAGCTGATCCAAAATGAGAATAAACGACCTTTATATTCTTTCCTTTGTAAACTATGCAGATGGACTTTTTTCTGTTTCAGTTGCTCCGAATGTTATCTTTAGTCTATTTAGTCAAATAAGCTAACTCCATTTTTTTTCTCCTTGGATTAAATTTTAATCACAACACTTTTAAGAAAGTAAATTAAACCTTTTGTTCATTTTGAACATGTGAACTGATGTCAATCTTTTTGACTCTGAAATATTAGGAATCTTAAATGTTCAATCATATATATATTTTTTTTTATTAACCATTTTTTGTTTTAAAAGCTGTGACAGGAGTATGCATGTCTTTTTAAATGTACAAACCCGTTAAGAGCAACAGTTTTTCTACTCTTACTTTTCTTTTTTATGCTTAGTCATTTCATTTTTAAAATTGTCTTATTATTCTTTAGATAAAAATCAAAGCGGAATTCTCTGTCCAGACTAAACACGTCACTGATGCCCTGATATTGAGGATTTGATCAAACTGCAATCCTTGTTTATACACATGCAGATTTATTTTCTTTTTTTTTTTAAATGCATATCTGATATGTCGGCTGATCATTTTGTGAAGCAGTTGTAAATTAAACTTTAATTTATTAAAAATGATTGCGTTTGCTTAAACTGAATGCACCTCATCTTCATCCCCTTTTCACTGTGAGGAGAGACTCTTTTTATTCTGCTCTCATGTCCGTACTCTTTTCTTCTTTTATGTATTTTGTTCATGCATAAAGAGAAAATGAACATTGCTCTTTTCACTCAGCCTCTGCAATTGTTCTTTGTCCCTCCCACTCTCCTCTGCTGTCTTGTTTCTTGTTCCCTTGTCACCCATTGTGCACCCTGTCTATCACGCTCACTATTTTCTCCCTCCTCTCACTCGCCCTTTTTGTGCTCGGCACTCAGCTACAGGTGTTAAAAATGCAAAAATGTGATAAAGACTGCGTGACTTGTTAAACACGCACACAAACCCACCCACACACACGGACACAAACACACTTTCTGTCAGCATTCTGATTGACCAGTGGCATCTGCGTCTTTGCCTCGTGAGCCTGTGAACGGGCGGGGGCATAAAAGGGGAGGTGAGGTTGGGAAGAGGAGGTGGTTGCTCCAGCATGTGATGAGAAATACGCAGTGGAATTAAAAACACTTCAAGATGTATACCCAATTTGATGAAACAGGAGTTGGGGGGGGGACGGACGGACGGACGGACGATGAAACGTGTGTCATCCATGAATATGTGTTGGGTTTTCTTTTCAAACCCTGAAGCACAATCATGATAATTGGAGTGCTGTGGGGATGTTCAGAGTGCACAGCAGATATCTAGAACTCCATCTTGTAATAACACATCACACCTATCGCCATCCCCTCTCCGTGCTCCTTAGTTTCCCTCCCCATTCAAAGCCTCTCATTCGTCTCAGAAAGGCTTCTTGAACAATTGATAACAACTCTAGTGAAGAGTATGGTTCAAATCAGGCTGCTTTTCATCTTACACAGGATGCTTTCATTTGGTGCTCAAGGTTCCTCACAAGGTCAAATATTTGAAAGTATGCTTTCCAGCTTACCATATCTTTAAATGATGCGTCTTCATTTCTTCACTCTGAGTTAGTAGGTTGCTATGGTTAGTATTATGCTCACACTTGCATTGCATGCTTACACTTTTTTTGATGCTTCAGTAAGGATGTTTTCTCGACAGTTAATACAATCGTGACAGCACAGTTGTGACCATTATACACATTTTCATGATTCAGCTTTGTTCTCTGTAAAGTGCACATTGCACCTAATTTTCATGGGTTCAAGCAGGTAGTATATTTTATATATTTTATGTATATTTAGTTGGACTGTCAAACGCTGGGACACAGATCCATCATTGTCACTGACTTCCTCTGCGGAAACGTCTCCTCCTTATTGCTCTTGTTGCTGCCAAAGCAAACAGCCAAAATGTTAATATGTACTAATATTAACACTGAAAGATAGGTTAGCATGCATTTAGTTATCATTAGAGCTGTCAAACAGTTTTATTTTACCAGGAGCGGTGAAACAGTCAAATGTTTGATGTCATTAGGTGACTATTACATTTGACTCGTCTACTGAGCTGTTCAGGAGTTTTTTAAAGTGAAATGAGATGTTTTAAGATGCAGCAATGTCATTCTTTTCCACCACTGTGACTACAGGGAGACACTATGGAGGCTTATCCACGATGCGCCTAAAGGGACAATATAGCATGCGATTAATAGCAATTAAAAAAAAAAATAATGCATTAATTTCAGAGAACACTGGCAATAGAAGCGGAAGAAGGCGAAGTTCTCCAAGGTGAAAGAATACATTTATTCGAAGATTTTGAATCAAATGTTTATCAGATTCTCACATAAGGAGATGAAAAGTGTTATCTGGACAAGGACAAACAAAGCATTTTCCCGACAATTTCCTTGGCAAGCCTTTGGACTGCACCAGAACTCCAAAAGTTTCCCATTTCTGACATCAAGAGATTTTCAGGGAATTCTTACTTCTTCTGTAAGGAAGGTAAAACTTCCATGGATCTAATTGTTATGCAAATCAAACAAAAATGTTGAATTGCATTGAAATAAGTGAAATATGGAGACCTAGCCAACACCATTTAATCTTTGTCATGTTCTCCAAACCATTCTTGAGTATTAATTACAGACTGGAAGGTCACATTATCATGTTGAAAGAGGCCACTACCATCTGGGACTACCGTTTCCATGAAGGTGATAAACTTTGTGTGCAACAATATGAGGTAGGTGTCAAATCTTAAAATACCATCCGCATGATGGCCCAAAACCTAGATTTCCTTGTTGGAAAATGCCCCAGAGAATCACATTGCATGCAACAACTTGTTTTCTTACCATTGTGCATTCTTGTGCCACCTCTTGGCCAGCTAAACAATATGCAGCAACATGAAAACAAACACACTGATTCTTCAGACCAGGCCTTCCATTGGTTCATTATCCAGCTCTGAAACTTGTATGTCTGTTGTTGGCTCTATTGGTACCGCTCGCATTGGCTCTAACCTCATCTCTATGCGCAGATTGTGCATTTCAGTCCAGAGTCCTTAAGTGAGGGACACAGCTTTTGGTCTCTGAAGCATTATTGTTTCCATGTGTTGTCAGATAAGCCAAATCTTCGCCTCAAATTCCTTGTACTTCATTTATGTGAACAACCATCAGCTGCACTAAAAGCCCTGGAAACTGTACATCGCTCCGAGAGGCTCTATCATTGTCAGACAATAGCCACTGGTGTAGAGATTGGATTGGACTAAAGAGGGTAGCCTTTGGGGTTGAGGACCCTGTCACAGGTTGTCCTTCCTTCAACTGGGTTTGGTAGTGACTCAACTGAACTGCCAAACAGGAGGACTCGAAAAGATCTGCAGATTTAGAGATTCCCTACTGGACCTCAGCTTTTGTCAAAGTAGCTCTGATCTTTATGCCTGCAAAAGCGTGCAACACATCTACCATTGTAAGTACCATGCAATAATGATTTATTTCTTAACCGAATGTAAAAAAAAAAAAAGGTCAGCTGTTAAAGGTCAGCACGTTTTAGGCAGATATAATTACCATAAAATCAAGGTTAGGCTGACTTTTGAAGCTGGGAAGGTACATCACAGGTCGGACAGATTAACCTGATTATGTAACTCTTTTGTGAGTCCTGTGTTTTATGATGGGAGCGATAGCACATGCGCAAAATTGTGTAAGGGTCCCTGAATAACTACTTTGTGTCAAACGAATAACAAGGTGAACTAGACATTTGTTAGTGAATTAAGATGTTACATGTCAACTGGGAATTTGTTCTTGCAATGTGTCCTTTCAGCTGACTCATTTTTTAGCTCCATTTACCACCAACGCCTCCTCTCCTAGTGTGCCTCTACTTAATGTTTGCCTGTTTTACCTTTAAAATCTACGTCCATGTCTTTCACTTCACCATGCTCCTTAATTGAAAAAGTCTTTGTCTCTGCTGCTTCATTATTAAGTTTTTACTCATTCTAATTAGAGACTGTGTCATCTGTGTTTACAGGCAAAGGGGAGGCTGTTAGGGGTTTGTCTCCTGATAGGGTCTATTTTGTAGAGAAATTAGGTCCTTTATGCACAGTCCTGTTTTTCTCATGTTTTTGTGTTCCCAATGGCAGGTGTCTCATTACACTGAAACTTCTCAGCCCACATGGGTATGGATGAATAAATGCATGTAATCGCTGGTATTTTCGGACAGCTTGCTCTTGGTAGTCCTCACAAAAATAATGTAACGATCTTATGTTTGGGTATGGCGCCCTTACGCTTCTATTTTAGGGAAAAGGCACTTTGTTTTTTGTTCAGTCTATGATCATAGAAAACAGTCGGAAATTTTTAGATGTATTTTGGTGCTGTGTGTGGTTGGGTATCTGCCTTTGACATGAGTCACTCTGCACTTCATATGACCGCTTAGCTTATGAATGAGAGCGACAACCCCCTCTCCAACCCCCGGTCCCCTGACAAAAGATGGGCAAACAGCTGTTGCCTGGAAACCAAAACTGGTTACCATACTGCTACTGCTTTGAATCTCCCTCTTCTTTCCTGCTTCTTCTCAAAATGTTCTGTATTGTAGGCATATTGTTTGTCTATACGACATCGAATAGTAGAAATATAATACATATTTACATAAATACATAACTTTGAGGTAAAATACTATACAGTATTTTGATGACCATACATTTTACCGACTATTAATTATTGAGACTTTTAAAACCTTTTTGCAATTAAATTATCACATTTAGTGCCTAAAATTAACAAGTTGCATTCTTCAGATTTGTTAAAACTTCATTTTCAGATGAATCACATCTTTCCTCAACCACAAATAAAAGTGCTCTGAGAGAAAAATAGATAATTCAGTTCAAAAGAAAAAAGGCTTTCACACACACATACAGTAACTTATCAGTTGAACGTGACTCCTTGTTTGAAAAAAAGCAAAACTCTTTGCTTCACAAGTCACATTGTATCTGTTTTTCATGTCTGAAACATTAATGATAAGAATAACAATGTTGTTTTAGTGATCACAGGTTAATAACATTTTCAAAAATAAAGATAAGGCATGACTTAATCAATCAAAAAGGATGACTCAAGAGATGTGAACATACAATGGGTTTCCAAAGATTTGATTTATAACAGGAGCACTAAGAGTGCCAATCAGGTAAACATTATGTTTGTTCCTACATGAACACAGAGAAGAACATGTGTTGGGCTACTCTGTACTGCACTGCAGTGTGTTTCCAAGATAACTGATTTCATTGAGATTACGGAGCAAGATCTTTGTCTGCACGCTGGGAGACAACTTGTCCTTTACAACACTTCCACATGCACTGTACGCACTGTACATGGATCTGAGGTTGTAATAATATCATCCTCAAAGTAAGATCATGTTTTTGAATAGTGTGAAGGCAGATCTGTTAACCCTTTCCTGTAGCACATTAGTCAGCCAGTGAGTGAATAGTAAATGGATTTAAGCTTATATAGCGCTTTTCTAGTCTTCTGACTACTCAAAGTGTTTTTACACCACATGTCCAGTCACCCAATCACACACTGATGGCAGAGGTTGCTAGACCCTCAGAAGTAACTCATCCC